AAATACTTCCTGGTCCTCGAGGAAGAATTCTGAATATCAAGGGAATTACTGCCTATCCTGAGGCTCCCTAGTTAGAATTATTATCATACACTCCAAAATACTTGAAATATCCCTTGGTATGTCACAAACATTTGACAGGTTGTAGTCACAAAGTAAGTGAACAAGAAAAGCTGTACATACCTACCTTCAAGGTATACAAAATATAGGTGAATTTCATGCTTAGATTTGGGTCCTATCCCTACTACATATTTGAATATTCCAATTTCTTAAACCCACCATCAGAAGACTTCTGATCTGTATGATACTGTGATTCATGAGTATGTTCTTCATTTCTTGGCAACAGAGCTCTCATTTAGGCTCTGTATACTAACTAATGGGTTAATAGATGACTAAAGGTTATGGGACAGTCCTAGAATGTGAGTGGGTTGCCATGGAAACCAACATCATTTTAACTGAAAAGGCTGACACTTTGTAGTTTCCAAAAAAAGTAAAGGAAGGGAAATAAAGGATGACTCTACCACCAATGCATTGCCACTGATGTCACCAACTACCATTCCCCCAAAAAAGCCTCATAAAAAATAGGAGAATTCCTATGCAGCTCAACAACTAGAAAAGCATTGAAGGCGTCCCTCCCAGAAGATGCCTTGGAAGCTCTACCTACCTTCCCCCATGACTTCCTCTGGGCATCCATTCCATAGGGCTGAAGTTCATCTGTATCCCTTAAGTATCCTCTAATAGCAAACTGACAAGCTTAAATTTTATTCTAGGTAGACTACTCTAGCAAATTAGTCAAAGTTGAGAGAGAGATTAGAAAATGGCCTTTGGCATGAACAGAGACCACAGATGGGGCTGTGCTTGGCTTCTGCAGTGGAGTTCACTTCTTCCATAATGTCTGTGATATGATAGTGTTCAAATTGAAGCAAATTATATGATAACAGTAAATGCTCCTAAGAGATCTTACTGCTGATTATTGTAGTGTGAGAAGTCCCAAGACATCTAATATCAGGGATACTCGAGGGTCTCTAAATATAAAAAATAACTTGTTTTCTTCTCAGCCTTAGGAAGTCAAACAAAATTTAAACATATTTAAACCCAGGGAAAAATAAGGAAGCATGAAATAGTTTAATAAAATGGGTTACATTGGCTTCCTAAATTAAAATGTTGCAGTATTTCTGCAGCTGTTGCTGTTGGAAACACCTTACAGTTAAAAGGTGGCACATCAAACAGCACAGTACAGGCTTCGATTCAAGGACTAACTACCACTTTTTTGGCATGTCTACTCTGGTAAATCATTCAACTTCCCTGACAGAAGTTTCCTCACCTACAAAATGTAAATAATAAAACCCAGATTGTTTGCAACAAATGTGTGTCAAATATTGAGAACAGAGCCATTGCAAAAAAAAAATTAAATCAGAAGACATTAACACAAAGTAGCTGATGTTCAGTTACAACATATTTTCTCACAGCGCTGCTACCATAAACGTACTCAACCACAGAGATGGAGGGTACAGGGACACTACCATATGTTTCCTGGTACAGACAAGACATTCCTAATAACATTCTAAATTCTAACACTTCCTGCCCTCGGGTTTTATGGTACCTGCCCTCGTCCTGCAGGCTACTTAAATGTTAAAACAACAAAATAAACAAAAAACAGTGCTGGTAAGTCCACCAATAATAATGAATTATTATCAATGCAAGAAAATGAAACTAACATATTAACTCACATGCTTAAAACCAGAATCTTGATTAAATGCTACTACCTATCTTCCAGAAAGAACTAAAAGCAGAGAGAGCCAATAGTCATCACTAGTTGTCAGATCTTTCATTGGGAAGCCAAGGAGAGGTGCTTCTACATCATTCCTTCATTATCTAAAATACAGCGCCAACTGTTCAGATATCTTTTCTAATGCTTACTCAATGCCAAGTATTCACCAAATGGCAAGGACATTCCATAGAAGACAGTATGCGTTGTGTGTAGTGAAGGATTCCATCAACAAACATCATTTCTATCATGTTTTTTTTTTGGTCCAATATCAATAAAGCAGCAAGGAAGTTAAGATTGTTTCCCTAGCTTTCCTTAGTATCCTAGCATATACAGATAAAAGGATTAAGGCGAAATAAATTTTAACTATTAAAACATACTATCAGTCTTGTTACTTATTTATGTCAATACTTACCCTTACTGTGTTTTTTAACAAATAGACATGCACCAAATGGAAATACTTTAATTTTTGTCACGTTTACTATCTATCAGCACTTTTAAAAGCATGCCATGGGTGGGGAAGTGGGTAAAGCATGGCTTGTGGGTAAAGCAATTGCTGTCTATGGGTGAGGAACAGTTTGGATCTCCAGAACCCATGTATAAGTCGTGTGAGCTGTGGGACCCACCCATAATCACAGTACAGAGGAAATGAGGACAACTAGACTAGCCGAATCGGTGTTCCACACTCAAGTGGGAGACTCAGAAGCAATACATAAGGCGAAGAGTTCAAGTGAGAGACCCTGACTCAAAGCCCAAGGTAGAGAGTAATCAAGAAAAACAGACATCAAGCTTTGGCTTCTACATACATGCAGACATATACATGTACGCACACATATGAGCACATGCATGCATACACGCATGCACATCATACACATGCAAAGTACATATGAATTATCATATCATAAACAATGACACAGCTAAATATGTCCCAAAATTAGGATTATGAAAACATTGATGACAAAAAATTTACAAATTCCACACAAAATTCACATAAAAAGTATCAGTCACACAGAAGTCACTCAAGTTAGCAGGTTCATCTATAGCATGTCTAGAAACACTGAAAATATTTTTTGCAGCTAAACTTATTTTCAGGTGTTTTATTTATTTTACTATTGGTGTCTACATGTGAATAATATATACATATGTATTTTCTGTGTATACATATGAGACACACTTTATATGTGATATGTAACATGTATACACATAGAGCATGTATAATCTTCAAGGTTCCATACCTAAAAAAACAATAAAGGAAAATAAAATATGGGAAATGTTTCTACCAGTAAGGTTAAGAATTAGAAACTCCCAACATTGCAGAAACCCTACAATGATATGGGTCACTAAAGTGATCAATTGTAGTGTTTTCTCATAAGCATCTCTACCAGCCTGTAGTTTAACACAAAACATATTATCATGATCATTTATTTGAATACTTATTAATACCCATCTTCTTGTTCTAAGAGTTTTATATCTACATCCATTCAACCCTCAAACAACAAGGCAGAACCAAGATTCAAACCTATGCATTCTGATTAATGCTCACTCTGAATCATTCTATTCTGCCAACAGTAGAAAATAATATTTACTCAAGTCTAAAAATAATATCTAATTCTCATCTTTGAGTATTGCATGGCCAGAGTTTAACTTAATGGGGCCAATCCAAATTAGCAGCAACCAAGAAAAGAGGAACAGTATTTAAGAAATAATATTTTTTTAATTATTTATTTTTATTTTATGCAAACTGATGCTTTGCCTGCATGTATGTCTGTGTGAAAGTGTTGGACCCTGAAGTTAGACAGTTGTGAGTTGCCATGTGCTGGGAATTTGAACCCGGGTGCCCTGGAAGAGCAGTCAGAGCTCTTAACCACTGAGTCATCTCTCCAGCCCAAAAACAGTATTTCTTATCTAGCAGATATATACCACTATCTTTTAAGTTGCCAAAACTTCACTAAATGTCCTTAGGCAATTACATTAGCACTGTTTAAGGCCAATGCCACCCTAAGGCCACTCACACAAGGAAGTCAAAATTTCAGAGGATGCATCTAATTCTGAATATGTTTGTTTAAAACTTTTATTTTAAAATACAACATGTAAACATGTTCTAGGGGAGAAGTATTATATAACTCCCACAAAATATCTTTAAATTCAACTATATAATAAAGACATTACTAAAGATATGATCAGACTTTCCCTCAAGCCTTCTAGCTACCCACTCCTTTGTAGTGAACAAAGGAGCTAAGGTGTAGCCAGCTTAAGGGGGCTCAGGTGACAGACAGCACATCAGAACAAAGACCTAAAACTCCACCAGTGTTCCAACATAAACGGACCCCAGACTTATCGTCTGACAGTGCTTAAAAAAATATACAGTATATTAAAAAAAAATAAAATCACCCTTAATAATAACAGTTTTAGCCAATAGTAATAGAACTCACAGTATTTTGTTTGTTTTTAGTTCAGAGAGAAATTTTAACATTCTACCTCATAATATTCTGGATAAAAGGAACTAGACAAATAAAATCTCCCTAACAACAGTTAAATCAGATAATTCAACGTCAAGTAATTCAACTGACAAAACAATCCCTCAGAGCTTTCTCTTTCCTTTTGGTCCCTTTCTCCCTCTCTCAATCACACACAAAATAACAAAAGTAGTAGTAGGGGTTAAAAACAGAATACAGACACTCATCTGGCCAGTCTCATTAGGGGTCTATCAAAACAAACACTGACTGGGGTGTTATGCCTGCAACCCCAGCTATTCAAACAAGTGAGGTAAGATAACAGGTTTGAAATTTGAAACTATCCTGGGCAACTTATCAAAAAAAAAAAAAAAAAAAAGGTGTAGAGGGGCTGGAGGCTAGGATGTGAAACCCCAGCTAAAACTTAAGACCTGGGGCAGAGCTCTGTGGTACAAATCAAGGTCTTGGGCTCCATCACAAAAACAAAATGCCACTTTAGTTTTTTTTTTTCTTCAAGATTTTAGCTGCATATTTTTACATAAAACACAGATGTCAAGTTCTTATTGGCAGTTTCTAAGTTGTAAGTAGCAAAGCAGGCTATCATGCTAGAGTAACAGATACTTAGATACTTCAGTTCTTGAATTAAAATGTTAAAGATCTATATAATCTCTTAAAACAATTCCAAAGTTCTCAATGTGAGTATCATACTCAATGTCTATGAGATGTGAAACTTTATTATGGAGCAAAATGCTGGAAAACACACCCCTTTATCAAGAACTTACCTTCTTTTTATCTCTCATCGAGCCTTTGCCTCGGACCATTATTTTACATCCTGTTTCTGCTTCAAGTTGTTTAGCTGTAAGTCCTCTAGGTCCAAGGATTCTCCCAACAAAATTAAACTGTGGGAAAAGATAAATGTACATTATTCCCTTGCTGAAAGCTGTTTCAGTTATCTGAAAGCATACATATGCATTTGATTACTCAGTTTCCTCTGAACATGAACCAAGGAGAAGTGAAACCTAGAACTCATTAATTTCTTGCCAAATGAGATGCAAGTCATTGCTTTACAAGAAATTATCATGTATTAATGCAAACTATAACCAGCTAAACAAAGATAATTTATTGAGTTATCCATCAACACATAAACTAAGTCAGAGTGCATAGTAAAAAGTCAACAAAACATTGGATGCCATACAAACATTGATCCCCTCTACAAAATAAATCCTGTCCTTTAATAAGAATACTTGGTTAGAGTCCTATCTTTACTTTGGTAACAAGAAAAAAAATGTATCTCCATAGACAATTGTGTAAGTAACAATTCCACATTGCTGCTAGAACATTAATGTTCAAACTAGGATTCTATCTTGTGCTAAGTATACAAGTCTTTGAGTACACTTTTCTTTTTATATCCTACTAGATTCAGTTTCCCAACATTTTGTTGGCTCATTTAAAAAACAAATACATTCACAAGGTTGGAGCACTGGTTCAGCAGTTCCATAAAACCTGGGTTCAATTACCGGCATTCACATGGCAGCTCACAATCATCTATAATTCCAGTCCCAGGGATGCAAAGTTCTCTTCTGGTCTCTCCAGGAACCAGGCATGCATGTGATACATAGATATACATACAGACAAAAAAATTCATATGCATAAAAACAGAAATGTATAAAATTTTAAAAAATAAAAATATAGTCAGGAATGGTATTTATCTGTAATTTTCTTCTCTCATAATAAGAACCTCAACTTTAAACATTAAGGCTATTTAGGCCTCCAAACATGTAGGAATGTATCCACTTCTGGATGAACATAGAGTGAAACTGATTATTTTTTCTTAAACACCAATTAGAACTCACTAGTGATGAACTGTTTCATTGATTTTGATATTTTCATACCTTTGTATTACCAATTCTGATGTACTGTTGTTGCTTTTCTTACAAATGTGCTTATATTCCCTAAATATTCAAATTTATAGACTACAATTTATTTTTAAGTATTTGTTAATACTCATTTCTTTATGTATGAGTATTTACCTGCACCATGTCCAAGTCTGGCACCTGAAAAGAACAACAGAGGGTGTTGGGTCCCGTGGAACTGGAAGAGCAGCGGGTACTCTTACTACCTCTAAGACATCTCCCTAGCCCTATGACGAGGGTTTCTCATTCCTGGTTACCTAGTCTACCAGTCTTCCAAGACATCAATTGTTAATTTTGCTCGCTGGAGTAGAGCCATTTTTAAAAAAATCTTAAAAAAAGGCTACACCTCTCCATGACTAATTATATTCTTTTTATTTGCAATATAAATGCGTACCTTTGCTGACCTCTAGAATTTAGAATAACACAGTGACTTGTTTTGAAAGTACAATGTAATAGAATCACCTAATGGGTCAAAAGCTGACGGCAGTCACAAACCACAGTTGCTCTAACGAACACAGTCACAAAGGTAGACGTTCAGTAAATGGTCCACTCAAACTGCCATTTTTGGGTTTGCTTATTAACTGATACTTTGGTTCATTTCATACATTCTTCCTTTAAATGATATCTATTCTTAGCTTTCTATTTCTTTCATTTCTTTCTGTAATGTTTACTCTGCTGGCTTTCCAAAACTGAAATAGATACTTCCTTATTGCATGCTCCCCATGTGCTACAAATATATAATTATTTTTCAAAGACATTAAGAATTTCCCCATTATCTTTGGTTTGGTTTCTAGCTTCCTATGCCTTAGATAATATATATATATATATTACACAATATATCATATTTACATATTACACAAACACTACATAAATTATCAACTTTTAATGCTTGTTCAGACCTGCTTTTCAACACAGAATATAGTCAATAAAAATAAAAACTGTGTGCGCCCTTGCATGAGCAGGAGTGCATGCAGGGGGGTATACAAGTGTATCATGTGTGTGCATAAAGGTGCCAAATATGAAGACCAGGACAGCTGTGAGTATCAGATGCCTTTTACCTTGAGACTAGGTATCTCTCTGCTGTTTGCCACTATGTATACCAGGAGAGTTGGCCTGTGAGTGCCAAAAGATTCTGTCCTCTGCAGCCTACCTCCCTGCACAAGTATTGGGATCAAAGATGAGGTCTTGGCACAACAATACATGGTTCTGGGGTTTAAACTGGGGTCCTTACACTTGCACAGCAAGCATTTTACTTAGTGAGCCATCTTCCCAGCCCTCATGGACACACTGTAACAAGCTAACTAATACTTAAGTAGATATGACCTGCATCATATACCAAATCAGTTGGTCTAGTCTACCACTTGTCCACTGAGAGGACACAACTTACCCTTCCAATATATTAAATATTGTTTGCAGCAACTACAGTCATGAGACTATCAGGAAAAAAAGAAGCTAATTCTTACAATTATTACTTACTTTAAAATTGTTTGTAAAGCAGATAAAACAGAAATACTGAATCTGTGAAAAATAAAATTTTCTTAACCCTAAAAAGCAATTACTATTGCCCCCATGAACCAAAGAGTTCAAATACTCTAAAGTGCACACCATAAGGATTCTAATGCAATTGCAATTGTCAAGGTCATCCTTCTTAAAATGCTGTAAGCAGAAAATGAAAAAAAATTAATCATAGCAGTTGTTTTGTCTATTGCAACCAATTTCCAGGTTAATGTGCTACGCCTCGCATTAAAACTCGCTCTGTGTTGATTTATCATGCCAGCTCTGCATCATCATTCAATTAAAACAGTGCCACAATGCTTTAAGAATAAAATCATTTCAAAGAGCCTGAGCTAAGTGCAACTTGAAAAGCCAAAAGAAAGAAAAGAAAAAGAGAAAAAAAATAAAAGATGTTCACTAACCCTACTGTTTACGTATAGACCTTAGCTGCTGCTCACCAATTATACATCTACCAAGTGGCATGTTAATTTCTAAAAGTTTAACAATTATATCTAATACTATTCATTTTGCTCACTACATTTTAAATACAAATAATGGATTTTTCCCAGTGATAAAATGCAAATTATGAAAACTCTAGGAACCTCCTTAAATGAGTATAATTAAAAACAAGACCTCCTTTGAGACATCACCAAAATAAATGACAAATTAAAAACTGCACTTTCAAAAGCATCTCAGAAGCACTTTTAAGAATTACTAGACAGTAATCTCTGCTTAAAATTCTGGAATTAAAAATAAAGTTATAAAGGAACATGCAAATTTTGGGTTGCTTTTTGGTTTTTTTTGGGGGGGGTTGTGAGGCAGGGTTTCTCTACATAGCTCTGGTACTCCTGGAACTTGGTACATAGGCAAGGCTGGCCCCAAATTCACAGAGACCTGCATGTTTCTAAAGGCATGTGGCACCACCACCACCCAGAACTGGGTTACTCTTTTTTTTTTTTTTTTTTTGGTACAAGAGATAATCTGGGGGCTGGATAGTTGGCTCAGCAGTAAAGAGCTAATACAATTCTTGCAGGACCTGAGTCTGGTTTTCAGCACTATGGTCAGGCTGCTCCAAACTATGTCTTTACAACAACAGGGACTCAGACATACTCTTCTAGGCTCTGAGAGTTATCTAAGCAGTCCTGGAAATTAAACTGAGGTCTCACAAATGCTAGGCAAGCACTGCACACTGGGTTATATTCCCAGCACTATGTCCACCATTTCTATAATTTTAACTAGGCATTTAAAATACCAAATAATCGCCTACTCAGTCAAAAGAATGTATGTATGTATGTATGTATGTATGTATGTATGTATGTTACATAAGACAGAATAGGATAATCTCTAATTTAGAACTTATTTTGGTTAAATATTTACCAGGGTCAAACCTTTTAGCCAAAAATACATATCAATATGTCATATGTAATGGAGAATGTGTCTGATACTGTTTGTAGATTCATATTACTTCTAGACAAGTAGCCAAGGTCTCCTGGCCACTTTACATTACATATAGTAACGAGGTAACAAACCAATCATGTATTAACCACTTATAAAAATCTGTATTTATGTCCCATGACTTACAAGTGCTATGCATATAAAGCTTCTTACAAAACTATTCAAGTCAATTCACTTAAAGCAACTGCTTACTACAAAGAAAAATTGCTAAGTACTTAAAACAAGCATTTAAGTTGGCATATGAATTAAGATATTCCAAGTGAAGGCGAATTTCCCACTCAGTAAGATGCCAAATAATACATAACAGACTTGGGTGAGTAAGACATGTGCTTGTTCTTTTTGGAAGCAAAATATCTAGGTTTAATGTGCAAGGTTTTATGCCACAAGCAGACAATATATAAAACAGTATATGGAAGGAGAAAAAAGCCTTACACACAAAGCCTTGTAAAAGATCCCACATGGTTCTACTGTGGAGTAACTCCTCTGAATGCTGTGAATATGTTTTATTATCACTGGCTAATAAATAAAGAGCTGCTTTGGCCAATAGCACGGCAGGACAGAGCCAGGTGGGAAATCCAAGCAGAGACACAGAGAGAAGGGTAGAATGGGGCAGATGCCAGCAAGCAGCTGGAACAAGATATACCAGGGGATAGGTAACTCCAAAGACAAAATATAGATTAATATAGGCAAAATATAGATTAATAAAAATAAGCTAAATGTTGTAAGAGCAAGTTAGTAATAAGCCTGAGCAAATGGCCAAACAGTTGGCAATTAATATTAAGCTTATGAGAGATTATTTTAAAAGCACATGTTTCTCAAGCTTTATTCTAGCTACTCTCCTTTATTCAAACCTCTTATTCTTACTCTGGTCAACATGTCAGGAAATTCTAAAGTTTTCTTCCTTCTCATCCCTACCCAACAAAAGTCAAACTCTTCTCAATCATCCCACAATAATGAACACAGGTTCCCTTTTCTTTGACTTCTTTGGAGAAACCAGAACACAGATGCTTCCCTCCTCTCAAGAATTTTGCTTATTC